GACCCACCAATCTATCGAGCTCACTCTCTACCTATCGTTCTCACTCTCTACCTAGCGATCTCACTATCGATTTCGCTATCCAATCTATCGTTCGGTGTCATTACTCCCGCGACCTCACACTCGACCTCACTATCGACCTCACTATCGATCTCACCATCGATCTCACCATCGATCTCACCGTCGACCTCACGAGCGATCTCACTATCGATCTCTCTCCATCGACCTCACAACCCATCTCACTATCGATCACGCGATCTTCCTCCAGGGGACACCACGGGACACCGCGCCACGGGACACCACGGAGCACCACGGGATACCTGCGGGACACCCCGGGGCCACGGCCGGCAGACCGGGAGGAGGAGAGCCACTGAGCCCGGTGTCGCCCCATCCCGGGCGGGATCGTTCCTCTCGCCCGCCCACGCAGCTTCGCCTCGCCCGCCCGCGCGACACGAAACCGAAACCGATTTACCGGTGGGGGGCTTTCCGTTTCGCTGCGACCTCACCTCCCAACCTCCGATCCTCCTGCCCGTCTTCCGTGTCCCCCTCATCTTCCTCTTTGTCATCTCCTGATGTGCCCTTCCCTGATCGTGCCCTATCTTCCTCATCATCCCCTGATCGTGCCCTTCCCTGATCGTGCCCTTCCCTGATGTCCTCCTCATCTTCCTCTTTGGCATCCCTATCCTCCTTGATGTGCCCTTCCCTGATCGTCCGTGGGGTCCCGAAACGGTGCGGTGACAGACCGCGCAATGACCTCGGACCCCCCAGAGGCCGCAGCGAACAAATCGTTACCGCACGACTTGGCAACCTGAGAGGCCCCGGCCGCCCGAAACGTCTCCTCGGAGAAAGACCCGAATTCCCAAACTGTACGGTCACCCCGAATCCGCACCGACTCACCACACGGTGTGGTCACCCAGGAAGCCCCGGGTTGCGCACAAGCAGCCCGCCCAGGTAGTCCCGAGTGGGCTCGACCGACCCCGCAGGCACAGTCCCAACGGGCCTCAACGGGCCCCCCGAGTAGTCGGGGCCGTCTCGAAACCCCACCCCTGGGGCGCGGAGCGCCCAAAGGCAGAAGTCTGCGTTCCCCTTCACGGCCCAAGCCGCGCGACGTCAGGTCATTGAGAGCAGACGCCAAGCCATATCGAAACACATGTGAGCGACGATAAGCGGCGGCTTACGCGGGTAGCCAGCGCTGCACACCACGTGGAGTAGAGGGCGCTCACGCGTCACCTTGCGCGGGAAGCTTACGCGCGAATGTGCCCGCAATCAACCCCGTGTTCTTCCGCCGTTCATGTGGAGTCCAAGCCCGCGGCGCACGGTGCTCCTGACTGCGCGCCGCCAAATCCAGTGGACTCCCAGCAGAAGCGCCCGCTCATGCTCTGATGCTTTCCCTCCGTTCACCTTTCCCCGCGATCGCAAGACGTGGTATAAAACCAACGATCTCCGAACCGCCAGGGAGTTCAGTCGAGATTACAGGGGACTAGGTGCGCTGAGTTCTGAGACCACGGCGGGCTGCTCCAACAGGCGGCTTGCACCGTAAGCCCCGGATCGCGTGGCGCGAGATTTTGAAGAACCGAGCGGCGCCAACGCGAACTTCCATAGTTTCTTGCGACGCCGGCGCGAGATTTCGAAACTTGCGCGGCTGAAGCGTTCCTATCAAAACGCTCCGCGCGCGATGTGTGAGTTTCGCGCTTCCACCTGGGCACTGTTTGGGACGATGTGGGCCTTTGTTGCGTATGTTGTGGATTTGATGTTGGCCTTGATTGAAAGTGGTGTTGTTGACGTCCGAAAGCGATATAATGGTGGCGATGATGACGATGATGATGGTGATGGTGATGAGGACTGTGACCAATATATGACCATGGAGATGACGGTACCGTGTAGTGAGTGCTGAGGTCAGGGGATGACGCGCGCCACCAACGCGCGCACCCGAACTTGGCATGGTGCACATGCCAACGAAACTCCAGCACGGCTTAACGCCAAGTCGGCCCTGTCGCAGAAAGCCCGCGCAAGGGTCGCGCAGAAGCCGGGCGAAATGAGAACACATTACCAGGCGAAGCGTACCATTCGATACACCTGCGCTGCTGCGACCGCGAACGACGGGGAACGTGGCGACCTGGATCCCCGATGCTGTGAGGCTCTCGCTGCACTGCACTCCGAGGCCCAACTCGGGGCTTTACACGGGGCAGCCTCTCTGGGAGGGGGCTTTAGGGCTTGGGAGCAAGAGGTCGCTGGACTCCCTTGGCGCGCGAAGCGCGACAAGGGGGCGGCGCCCGAGTCGCCGCCCCACGGGGGTCCCACGCCGCACCGAGGAGTCTGCCTTGGACCTCCAGCGACGCACGCCTTCGCCGATGCTTCCTTCCTGGATGTACGGCCCTACTGCTTCGAGACATTTGCAGCTCCTCCACCCCCGGAGCCCTGTCGAGAGGGAGGTGGTGGGGCGGAGATCAGGGAGGAGAACGAGCGGGAGGAGGACAAGTGGTGGTCGCTGCGCAAGGGAAAGGTCCCGAGCAGAGCAACACGCGACGACCACGACCACACGCAAACGATGGAGACAAGGCGCGCAAACGATCAGCACCGAAGCACGGACATGGAAAGGGCCCACTCTGCGGGCTCGCTTGAACAGCACGTCGCTGAGAAGGAGGAGGAGGAAAAAGACAACGAGGAGGAGTAGGAGAAAGAAGGAGAGGGCAATCTCCTCGAGAGCGTTTGCTCTTATTATTTCCCGTAACGGTCGTTACCCAGGGGGTGGGGGGGGGCGGGTAATGGTAACGCTTGGGCGGGGTGGGGCACGTCGGGGCAGCGGTGCGCTGCGATAACCACAGTATGCGCGCGAACACCACCAGCATGTGGGGGGTCAAGGCCCCGCCACGTACGATCGATGCCGTTACCCCAGGGGGAGGCAGTGGGGGGCTTGGCCCGGGTAAATACCATTACTCGAATTTTAAACAACGGCATAATCATAAACGTCTGGAGCTCCGCACGGATCTCTTGGATCAGCCCTGAAGACCCCTCAGGGGAGCCCAGGGCCGATCCAAGATATCCACGCGGAGCTCCAAAAATCTATGTTCATGCCGTCTTTCTGATCCTCCTCCTCCTTGGCTTCCGCAGGGGAAACCAGATGCATCCATCTGTGGCAGCGAGGGCCACCCATTAGCGGGCGAATAACGGTATAACATCAACTTGTACGTCGCCAGGGGCGCTGCCCCAGGGCGGCTGGAAAGTCTATACCTCGACGTGCCACCGTGAGAGTATGAACTTTCCAGCCGCCCTGGCCTGGGACAGGCGCCCGCGACAGCGGAAATAATTATGTTATACCGTTCTTCGCCCGTTAACCCCAGGAGGCCCCCAAAAGGGGCACACGAGGGAAAGGTACCCAGCATGGGTACGGCAGGCTGGCGTCGTGTCGATCCAGGCGCTGGTTCCTGACACCGCGGGGATCGTTCAGTCCTGAACGATCGGCCACTCCCGCAACATCCGATCGTTCACCATCGCTGCGCTCAACGTTGAATGCCGGCGGCGGGGCCACCGCTGGTCGACACGACACGAACCTACCGTGCCTTTTACTCCTCTGGCTTCGCCCCCGATCCCCCCCGAGGAGCGCTCCAGCCGTGTCCGCCGCACTGGCCCCACAGGCTCTGCTGGTCCGTGCAGTAGTAGTTCGGCGCGCCGTCGCCCTCGTCCGGGGCAGCCTCGCGCGCGCGGCGCGGGGCGGCGCGGCGGGCCAGCGTGTGAGGGCAACGTCTGGGCGATCGCCGTTTCGTCCATGCCCCTGCCCACGCCCCGACGCCCACGAGGGGCCAGAGCAGGGACACGGAGATCAGTTCTGGCCTCCGAGGCCACGCTCGCTGCTCCCGGCGCCCAAGAGCGGGGGGCAGCAGCAGGGGTATGTTGGGAGGCATCTACTGGGAGGTCTTTGTCGGAGGGATTAAGGAAAAGTCAGTCACGCTGGGGGGCAAAAAGCCAGATTGGGCCGCGGATCAAGCGGGATTCAGCGGGCTTAAGCCCGATTAAGCGGGAGTGAGCCGGATCAAGCCGGAACTCGGACCAGGGCCAAGTCCGAATTGGTCCTCCCAAGAGTTGCATCCCGAGGTGTGGATCGAACGTCGATCGCCCAACGTCCGAGGTGGGAACACGTTGCTCCGGCGAAAACGCTCTGGAGCGAGGGGTCGGAGGAAACACGGAGGGGAGGCGGACGGCCGAAGGTCAACGTGCCGCCAGCCAAGACTCCAGCATAGGCAGGCAACCTGCAGCTCAGCGCACAGCACGGAGAGGCGCACTCTGGGCCACGTGTCTTGTGGCTTTCGGCCTCCGGGGGCCCTCGCGGGGCCGCAGGACCGCCAACGGAACGACTCGGGGCGAGAAGCCCGCACCGTGGCGAGGGGTCGGGACTTCCGTGGATCCCGTGTCGAACCAATCAAGACATCGCCTCGGGCGGGCGGTGGACATTGACATACTTTGGCCACGGGAGGTCCGAACATATCCGTATTCACCGCCCGCAATGGGTCCCCAAAGATGGATCCCCTCAAACGATGGCTATGGAAAATCCCCGCCTCGTGTACGGGGGGCAAGCCCAAATCGGGGATCTGCGATGGCAGGGCACCCAGCCTCGATGGGGCGCGTCCGAGTAGCCCCCTGGGGATGCACGCCTGAGTTTCCCCTCTTCCCTAAACGGCCTAATCTTTGAGTGGGAAGCTCGGGGATTGGGGCGAGACTTGACCTGGGCGGAGATGAGGCGGTGCGGAGCGAGGGACGCGCGGGCCACACTCACTCCCCCCTGTCCTCCCTAGATCACCAGCGTCTTGAAGTATCACAACTATTTGCTTGGTTCGTGGTCTTTGGCCTCTGGAGCCATCACCGACCCTTGGGACCGCCAGAAAACGACTCTGGAAGAAAAGCCGGCCATAGGAAAGGGCTCGGGACTTCTGGGGACCCCGTATGTAAACAAACCAAATCATCAGAAGTATAGGTGCCTCGAGAATTCACAGAGCCTCCTTCATCAAAACGCCGCGTTGCGAAAACTGCCAGGGGCACTCCAGAAGTGCGCGCCGAATCGCGTTCCCAGTGCACGGGGGCGTAATGGCTGCTCGTCGTCCGAAAGCTACCGAGTGTCTAAGGCAAAACACATATCGATTAGCAAAATCATCGGGGGACTACGTGTGACCGAGGCGTCGTGGCGCCGTGTGGGGCTGAGGACCCAGCAAATTTGTCAAATTGACTGGCCATCGGCTCCCCAGAGAGAAATTCCCGCTGGCAATCTGGGCTGAGGTATTTTAGAGCGTCTCCTTTACCATGTTTCCCCTTCGTCCCCTGACGGGAGGGGATCGTCACTGCTGCTTATCAGTGCACATCCCTCCCCCCACCGGACCAGCGACAAATCAGGGCCAACGACTCCCCACACACCAACCCTTCCAAAAACACATGTCAAACTGCATATTGCAGCAACATTTGGATCATGCGCGGACGCTCCGCAACCAGTCTGCAATATTTGTGTTTGAAAGTGCGGCGGGGTTGCTGGCAGATTGCCTGCTGTGTGCTGTGTGCAGTGTCGCCCCCTCCCCCCTCCCCCCCAAGAGACCCCGAAGAGGTCTCCAAGCGGTCCTCAAGAGGCGGCAAGAAGCCCTCAAGGCACGCCCACGACGCTGCTAGAAGCCCCCTCAAGAGCTTGCAAGGGGCCCCAAATACGACCGAGGAGGCCTCCAAGAGGCCCCCAAGAGACACCCCAAAAGACTCCAAATGAGGTATCCGAGGGGCCTCTGGCCTACTGGTACTCTCCGCGGTATACCGATGAGGCCACGCTCCCCGAGAAGGGCCACTCCCCTGGGCATCCTTCGCGGATGGGCTGGTGGGGACACGCGAAGCGTCAAGAGTTAACATGTCTACGGCCGATCTCGGTCAAACGCTTTGCAAGCAACGCGCCCCCGCGAACGTGCATAACGTTATGGTACACTCGCCGACAATTTGAGCCGAGACGTGCGTTGCATTCGAAAACCCCTCTGTGTTGTAGTTGCGTGCGCCCCAAAAATCGGCACCTGCACAGGAACGGCGGAAAGCGAATGTCTACGACATCGCTCTCCCGAGCTCTGGGCTGTAATGTTCTGCATGAACAAGTTTTGAGAAACTGGGAGGATTAGCAGCAGACAACAGGGCTGGACCTAAACGTTGTGTTTCGATTTGTTTTCGTTTTGTACATCATGTTGCTCTACCTGTTTTCCTGAACCTCCCTGCCAAAATGAAACAACAAATCACAGCCGAAGTCTAGCAGAACAGCGTTGAGGTCCAGCCTTGGCGGACAACATGCTCACACAGGCGCACACTGCATGCGCCGACCTGTACAGATCGCGGCAGCTTGGGTTAGGTCGGGCATTTCCTCCTACAGGCGGATGTTGGACGAAAAATAAAAGTAGTCAGCAAGAAACACCAAACATGTCGAACAATATCCCAAGACTATTTTTGTTACTATGTTTGAATATTTCTCCTGTAGAGGAACGCGTCCGACTTAAAGCTAGGGCTCTACGATAGTGGTCGCTTCTTGGATTACTCTGAGTTCCTCCAGAAGACAATTACGCAACTCCAGAAAGTCCACGCAAGAGGGGCTTCCCTTGGTGTTCACGCACGCGCTCACGAAATCGTTGACATTGACGCTTCCATCGCTTGACTCCCTCTCAAGAATGTCGAATAGGTGTCCGGCATCTCTTGGCCGGAGACCGTTCATGTTGAGGTACTGCAAGGTCCCCACATCGTCCTGGGCCTGATTCCAAGACTTTCGATCGAGTGTCAGCGTCCCGCCGGAATGCCTCAGGATAGTGCTCTTCAAGATGCACCTGATCTCAGACTCATGCGAGGCTGCCTTTCTCGCCTTCTCCTCAGGGTCGCCCCCGAGCACTTCAATGGCCTTGTCCACGCAGAAGCCGAGGATAATGTTCATCAGCGCCAGATCTGTGAACAGGACGATTATGACCAGCCACGCCTGGTAAAACCACCCCGCTGGCTGGAGAGAATCGTAGTAGTCTCCCCACCCGTCGAACAACGTCCTGAGAAGGCTAACGAACGCAAGCTCGACGGAGCCGAAGGACTGCAGGAGCCCATCATAATCGCATCCTGCCGTTTGGATGCAGCCGATGACGCCGCTCGTGATGATCAGCGCAGACATATACACAACGAGCCCCACCATGGCAAATGATGCAACCAGCGTTGATTGTATCCGGACCACCGACAGAAACAACAAGCGCAGCGGACTAAACAGTGTCAACGCCCTCAGTGCGCTGAAAGCCTTGATGATCTTGAGGACGCGGAGAATGCGAAACCCTTGCGGACCTCTAAACCTTTCTTCCAATAGGCTCAACACGCCTGAAAGTGCAAGGAACAGGTCGAGCCAATTCTGAATCCAATGCACGCCATCGAAGAAAGCCAACCGCTGGTGCCACATCGTCACGAACACGTCCACAACCCAAAGGAACGCGAGCACGTACTCCAACACTATAAGCCAGAGAGGCCGCGCGACCTCCCCCAGCTGGCTGTTGAACCCCATGGTGATCAAGACACAGTGTAGGACAACCATGATGCCAATGAATTTTGAGTACGCGGAGGACACGGCAAACTTTGATATGGCGTCACTTGGCGTCCGGGGATGCCGCGTGCCGAAGTCCTGGAGGCGGCTCAGGAGGCTCTCGCAGCACCAGGGCGCCCTGGTCATGACCTGCTCGCTCCATCGCGGGACCTCCTCGGCCTGAAAGATCGACTCCATGGTCCGTTTCCTGGCCGGCCCCTCGCCGCTCCCGCCCTGGATCAGAGCCAAGACCTCGTGCGGTGGCTTCTGCTTGGCCGCTGTGGCGGGTGCAGAAGGGGCCTCTCCAGCTTCGACTCCTGCCGTCGGACGAGCTCCACGGGGCGACGGTGTCGCATTGAGGTCGAAATTAGCATCCTCCCTCGGAGGCGCACTGCTGCGGCAGTAGCCCGAAAGCCGCGAGGGGCACGGCTGCTTCGCAACCGAGCGCGCGCGACGCGGCGTGGCGGCGTGCGGCGCGACCGCTGCCTGCTTCTCGGCGGCGCACGCGTCCGAGAGCGCGCGGGCGACTTCCTGGTAGATGGCGAAGCGCAGGTCCTCCTCGCACAGCTCAGCGACGGCCCTCGATCCCGGCATCTTGTTCCTCGCCGACCTCGAAGACCGCAGCACGGAGGTCGCAGAAGTGGGTGTGGTCAGGTCGGGAGACATGCCGTCCCGCGCGGGACGATCCGGGGAAAGTGGCGGGCGAAGCATGGCTCACCACCTCTCGTTCGGCAAGTGAGCCTGGGCCTGAGATGCCTCGTGCACTCTCGGGCGAGCACAGGCTCGTCCGCGTCAGTGTTGCCAGTGTCACTCGAGAATGGGGCGGGCCTCTCCTTTACTCCAAGGGCAGGTGCTGAGCAGCAGTCAGGCTGGCGGGACCTGACCAGTGATCCTGGCGCAAACTGCCTGATGTCAATGGTGCCAATGTCGCTCGAAAATGGGGCGTCGTCCTGGCGGCCTCGAGAGCCGTCTTGAAGCCATCTTGGGCCGTCTGGGGGCCATCTTGCGAGGTCCCGAGGACCCCAGTCGACCGTCTTGGGACTCCTTCGGGTTCCTCTGGAGCGCTCTTGGCCCGTCTAACGCTTTCGGAAGCCGCCAAGGGGGGTTCTCTGAGAGGTCCCTGGGGCCGTCTTGGGAGACTCTAGAGCGCTGTTGGGGCCGTCTTGTAGCCTTTGACGGCCATCCAGATGCCTCAGAAGCCCATTCGAAGCGAAAATGTGAGATCTTCAAAAACTGTGTTCCTTTTGTTCTCTTCGCCGAATTGGGCATCTTGGGGCCCTCTTCTTGGAAGCCTCTTGGAGCCAAGACCCTTGAACGAATCATTGGACCATCTACCGACACAGTGGAGGCCAGTCCACAAGAAACTTTCCAAAAGAAACCTCATCCCAAGACCCCAAGGCGTCCATTGATTTATGGCGGGGGGACGTCACGCTTTCCATTGAAAAAACATGTTTGTTTGGTCGGCGGGTCGAGAGCGGGCCTCTTCCGGTTAAGAGCTAGGCGGGGCGCGCGAAGCACTAATTGGGGAGACAGGGCGCGGGCGGGCTTTCCATAGAAACCATCGACACCCGAGAAACCCAGGGCACCCTGGGGGCAAGCAGGGCGTTTCTCGGCATGGGCATCCACTGCATTGCCGCTGACTTTTCGCGGGCCCCGTTGGAGCCGCTGCCGCGGTCCTTGCGGGCTCTTCTGGCCAGCGTTGGGCCGTCCACGACCCTCTCTGGCCACGCGGGTTCCTCTTGGCGGCCTCTTGGCGCCCGCGGGGGCCGTCTTGGAGGTCTTCGGCGGCCTGAACAATTGTCTGGAGCTCTGGAAAGGGCCTTCTGGCTCCACTGACTACAATCTGGCGCGGGGTGGGCGTGTGAATTTTGAGAAGAGTGGGGAGCCCGGGTCCAGGAATCCAATCACCGGTGATAGCGCATATGATGATTAACAACCGCCGTATTCATGAAAAAAGAAAGTGTTGTTTAAGCTACCAGAGATAAAAACCATTATGACACACATGGCCATGTACTACGCTAGTACAGAAACGATAGAGCCCCGCAATGGTATTAGAGATGGTACGTATACTTGCAAACAACGCGATGCCCCTTTTTGTCTGCGCATCACTTTACCTATCCTGTACAACAGAGAAAATATAGAGATAACGGGATATATGTATACTACGGAAATGCACGATATGCATGTGCAACACGACATGGAAACATGCGAGAGAGATGGATATAAAAAGGACCGTGTGTATAACCAATTGCAAACCACGCAAGCGCTATGCGCATGCATCGTTTCTAGTCACAGCTAGACCACGGATCTTCTTTTTTCCGCTCGCATCATGGGCGAAACTACCCCGCATGTGGGTTTCGCGGAGCTCGTTCCGCCTCGGCCGTCTCCTGCCCTCGTCCCTGTCGGTCTTCGCCGGCGTCCTTCTCTCGTTCCTTCTTTGCTCCTTCCGTGGTGTTCCCTTTCCCGTCTCTCTGTTCCCTCTTTGTTCCTCCGTTGTTTTCGTCCTCGTCCTCCTCCTCCCTTGTTCCCTCTGTGCCCCCTTGATACCCTGCTCCCGCTGTCCTCCTCGTCGCTCGCTTCCTCCTCCCCTGCTCCCCCTAGCCGTGCTGGCACAGGGCGGCCTGTGCCTGTTGGCACCTTATTCAGAACGGCACACGGTGCCAACGAGCCTCCCCAAGATTTCATTCCTGACTTCCCAAGAGGCGCGATGGCCCCAGCGAAACCCATGTCATGGGGACCCCCTTTTGCCAGGGCCTCGCCGTGCCAGCACCACCAGCAGTACTCGCAGCCGCCCTACATGCCTCAGTGGTCCACCGGGTGATGATCATCCTTCTGGTCATGTGCCTGGCTACAGCAGGGACGGACCACTTGGCGTGGGACGCTGGACATGCATGTGCCCTGGCTGCGGCTGCAAAACGAAAAACCAGGGCATACCCGTGCGCAAGCATTGAAAGCGACCCCATTGGAGCAGGACATCATGGCAAGGACCCCGCTCCACCTCGGGATGGACAGCTCGCTGTGGCCACAAGACAGGGCACAGGCGTGGGCAAGGCAAGTGTGGCGACTACTCTGCCGCAAACTTTGAAATTTCATGGGCATCGCCACCAAGCGCGGCGACCAGCATAGCCACGGCGCCTACAATGCTGCGCCCGAAATCGACTCGAAAAGGTCCGCGCCAAAGACAGGCTGGCGCCTCCGAGGCCGCCGCAACGCTGGGCCAACGAAGCCCACCAGAGGCTCAAGATCATCGAGAGGCGCCTCGATAAGGCGCTGGGCGACTGGGAGCAAGCTCGCACGTGGGTGGACAAAAAGCGCGCAGAAGCTTTCGCCCTCCAGCAGGAGCTGGAGGCCCAGGGCGCTGTCCACACCGACCTCATCGATCAACTCCATTCCAGAAGAAGCCGCGGTCAACCCCCGCCGACTCTGAACACGGCCACACATACTTACTTACGTGACCTACTTGAAGGTAATTTGTCCGAGATTTCCACTGTCGGAGGAGATGAACCACTTGGCAGTCCGTCCGCAGGATACGACTCTTCGGGTGACGACAATCAGATACTTCAGAACAGGGAGAAGGATTTGTTTGGTGGTGTTCAGTCACTTGTATCTAATGCATACGAGCACCAGGCCCGCCTATCCGATGAAGCCAAGACACCTCGTCGTGAAGGCCTGGTCCGTCTCTTCGACAAGAAGGAAGAGGTTGGCGACGCGAGCGAAAGCAAATGCGCTGGCCCAGGAGGAAGAAATGCACCATATTCCAAAGGTATCGCGGCTGCCAGCGGTGTCGAAGCGCCCCATGGCGATCCTCGGCCTCGGGCGCCCGCTGCCGACAACCTTCGCGAGCGCGCCGAGCGCGCGCTGGCTGCTGACCGGCAAAAGTACCAGGCTGCCCCCCCCCCTGGCAGACCGACTCTCAGAGGTGTGTCCACTCGAGCGGGCTCATCCCAGCACTGGTAGATGACAGCCCAAGGCAATATTTGCGCGACGCCCCTCTGGAATGCCCCCCCCCACCGCGCCCCGCCCCGTGAATTCAGCGGTGTCATCGGTGCGCTGGCCCGCCCGGGCACTGATATTTTGGATGTCGCTTTTATAGGCCGCGAACTCATCCAGTCGGACGTCGGCCAAGCCCAGACCCCCGATCGCATCTTCCTCCCGCGGGGGCATGACCTGGCGAGCAAGGCTTCGATCGCGGAGCTTCGGCCTGGGCCCATCGCCGCGGTTGGCCGTCGACTTGCTTCTCCCTGGTCGCGCCCGAGAGGAGCGCGCCCGGTGGTGCGGCGACGTCGGTCCGGGATTGGCACGGTTGTTGCGACGTCACTAAATCCCCAGATCTTTAGCCAGGTCGCGTTGCCGCGCGCTGGATCCAGGTACTTGGCGGAATTGCCATCCTTCGCTGCTCCGGCTGCCTCAAGGACGGAGAAGGGCTCTCGAATCTGAACGGGGACTTTAACATGCCCCCGCGAAGAACTTTCGGAACTGTGACTTTGCCGCAGGCCATTCGGCCAACCTCGCGTTCCCTCAGAATGCTATGACGTTGGCGTGTAGCCCTGGGCTCGAGAAAAGCATGGCTTGCAGCTTGCACCTCGGTCGCCCTTGCGGCGGGCGCGCGCCCACGTCGGCCCTTCCGAATCAGGCCACGCCAATCGCTCGCCGACCTTCAGGCGCTCAGCTCTCTCAAGCCCCCCCCCCCCCCTAGCCCGCCCCCATCCCCGCCCCCCCCCCCATCGGGCCCTTCCCGCGCGATGCCAGATGGAGCGAGACTTTGGGCGGTGCTGAGCATGCCCCGACGCTCGTTCGGAGGTCGGTCTTGGATCAAGACAGACGCCGCAAGCCTCGCCAGCCTACCCTGTACGCCCTGCGACGGTTGGAAAGCGACTTGCGTTTCTTGCGCGCGTAAGCCACGAGTGGCCGCTGCTGTTGAGATCGCTGGCTCCTCGACTCTCCCCCTCGTAACTTTCGCAATCGCCTTCGCCTCTTCGCCCCTGGGCCCAGCGCGTCAACGCTCGCGTTGTGCGTAGTGCCCATCTGCTCGGGGAAATTTCACTCAGGACTGCCAGTGGGGCACTGGCCGTGAGATTCTAAAGGAGCTCAGCGAAGTGCCGGGCGCGCACGTCTGCCGCGGCGCGAGCGGAGGCCACTGCCAGTTGGAAAGTGCGGCTGCGCAACGGCATCGACGGGGCGGGCAGGCGCGCCCACAGTTGGACCAGTTGGGCCCCAATCACATGGTTTCTTCCAAGGGGGAAATTCTGGGATGCTATGCGAATCTAACTCAAACGGAATGCGCCGGGCTCTCGGGATTGCGGAAGGCTTCCGACCGCCCCCCGCCTCGGCACCTCGGGTTTGTTCGACATCTCGACGCCCCTCCCTCGGGCCCCCCCGACTCCGCGCGACAAACGTCTCGGTCGTATGAGATGACCTCGGCCGTGGGCGTGGGTGGGTTTCACACGTGTCACTGAAATTCCTTTAGTGATAATTCTCTTCAGGCCCATGGCCCTCTGGTCTGTCCTGGCAAGCACCGGCTTGATGCCCGAGTCTTTTCAAGTTTCGAGCGTTGCCCCTCTTTAGAAATCAGCGGGGAGACAGCCGATTGGCATTCTTGTTGCATCGCATCGCATCGCATCTGGGGGCGGCCGCGGCGGCCCGCCTTCGAGATTGGGAGGCCAGCGCCCGCCGCTCCCACCCCCCAGCCTCGACGCTCGCAGGCGCCGGCGACGTCGTCTGGAGGCAGGCCTTGCGCGCGGAGAATGACGTTTGCAATCCGCAAGTGTCGCGGAGCCTGCTCTGCGACCTCGCCCAGCTGATCGACGCTACTTGCTCGGGCAGATTTGCGGAAAGCTGCAAGCCGTTGAATTCTCCGCCGCAGATTGCGCTTGTCTGCATCAACGTGCATGGGGGACCGCGCTGCCCCGCGCTCGGTCCCATGGTCCGCAGCTTTTCCTATGCCGTGCGCGGTGTGCTAGCAGGCTGCTCTCCAGCCGTCAGCTGCGCAGTGGCCT